AAATGATTCGGGTAAATAAGTTCATCAAAAGAGGCTTAACCAAATGAAATATGAACAAGCTCAATTGTATGTGGAGGTACTATAAAATTATCATAATCAAACTTTGTGTCTGATACTAGCTGTAAAAGAATATTAAGTGACTCAAGGTAACCAGAATGTAACTTTTGATCTAAGTATAACAAGATATATCTATATATCTTCTAAAATGTTAGTATTCTGTGAAACTGATTGAATAAGTTAATGTGAATTAATTGTAGTGTCAACTGGACTAGATGAAATCAACTGTCAATTTGTATTTCTGAGAAAGAAACAATATTCCCAAACTTAGATGAAATTGACATCAACATATAGATATTATTCTTTGGGAAGCCTCGAAATATCCTTCAGAAAATCAATCATATTGAAAGCCAGAAACTCCAGAAAAAACGTCTCATCCAATCAGCATTGAATAGAACCTTCGCAGAAACATGGAAATTTCGGAATCAAGAGGCATAATCCTGATGGTGCATTTAGCCTTACTGATAGTATATTCAGTAGGGCTTTCGAACCATCCAGAAGCACGAGATCACTAGTAACTCTAAAAATAACCTCATTTCTCTGTACATAAACTAACCTTGGAGTATAGTGTTCATCTCTTACTTCACACCTTTCCTCTTACGTTCAAGTTGCAAAGTACATTTTAGTCTACAGTGTTTAGAAACGGATAGGGAATCCGATCTTTAGTTCATTTAGCAGACTTAACATTATTTATCAAAACACAGCAATTATTAATAGCCTAACATTAATGGATCCTCGAATTCAGTGAAACACAACAATCTCGACAACCTCATGCTGACAATAGACTAGTGTATTTGAGGTAACCCGAAACTGTTCACCAGTGAGCTCATAATAATTGTCATTATAGGATTATGGATATTGTTGAGTTTAACTGAAGTAATGGATACAATCAAATCTGTCTCCAGCTTCGTGAGGAAGTTTGTCAAATTCTAGTGAGAAAGTTTGGCCAGTGGTTTAACAGTTTCAGTTGTGAGGCAGAGGTGACCCACGCATAAGCTTGAGACCACTGAGTCAGCATCCGACGGTGTAAATGTCTTACTTCGATCAATCCATGGTCTTGCACAACTTCATTGTGACCAGTGGAGTTCAACCCTGTCTGATGTGGAGCAGTGCCCACCGATTACAATAGATCAGGTCACTCAATGTGGTAGATTGATCCAAGTTACAGATATACATCGTCGTATTCTGGCTCAGTGGTCAACAAGTAAAACGTTAGCATGCAAAACCGAAGTTCCTGGATTCGATGTCTTCTGTCAGGGCCATGGACGTGCACTGCTGCTGGGTACCATATAAGAACGAAAAAGCCGACCAATGCATCCAGGTTACTACTAGCGGTCTAACATTATTAATTCAATGAAACCCAACAACCTCCACAGCCATATGATGAAAATCGATTAGAAACTATAGAGCACTGAACAAATATCTCATTCTATGTTGATATTTCTCGGTAATGTACTGCCAGGAATAAACAAGACATCTATTTGAAGACCTTCGAATGGGTTGCACCTGAACTAGTGATAGGAAGTGAAGTGGTTGAACGTGTAGACCGCTTCACGTATCTGGGGAGTCTCATCAGTGCTGATGGCCTGGCGACTGACGGAATCTCAGCGCGGATACAGAAGGCTCAACTGGCTTTTGCCAACCTGCGTCACCTAAGGCGCATGCGAGAAACCCGCTTGCTAACCAAAGGATGAGCTTACTGTGTAGCAGTTCGCCCCGTCCTACTATACGGGTGCGAAACATGGCCGTTAAGAGTAGATGTTCGTAGGTTACTAGTCTTCGATCATCGGTGTCTCCAAAGCATTGCTCGTGTATCCTGGGACAGCCGTATCAGCAATGCTGTCGTTAGGAAACGAGTTCTAGATAGGGATGGTAAATCAAAAGATTAAGTAGTGAAACTTCATCAGCTGAGGTTGTCTGGACATTGTTACGTATGCCTAACGACAGACTGCCTCGACGCGCTATGTTTCGTGGTGTAGGAATGGGTTGGAAGAAAGCCAAACCAAAACATGGCACAAATCCGTGAAGTCACTGACAAGTAGGCTAAATCATGTTGATAGATGTAGGCTGCCTGGTTGCGGTCTGCGAGACGATAGTCACCGATGGTTAGAGACCTTGAATGACATGGCTCAAAATCGTTTGCAATGGCACAGGTGCATCCACTCTTTGTGTTCTCTCTAATTCTAACCTTCTGAATTCCTCATAATCTCTATCTTTCTCCTTCTAAATTTATCTTACTGAATTATACTTTTCGAATCATATCTTCGCTCCCTAATCTTCTTCATTACTGCTAAGACTTCTACTATCGCTATCACTCTTGGATTTGAACTAACAGTTGCGTCTCTGTGCAGATGGGGCGTGGCAACCTGAACTGATGTACTTACATACGAAGTTCTGCGTTGTATCTGTCTGTCTGTCTTTGAATGTCAGTGTGGACATTACACCATAAAGCCACTTGATTAAAAATCTCGAAAATGTGCAATCGAATAGTACCATTTTATTGCTGTTCTATATAAACACAACACATGAGCAAGACAACAATGACTGTGTATAGAGAAGACGATATCAATAATAATCAAGCAATTGATTATTAGGAATAACAAATCACACAATAGTAGTCAATGAATTAATTAATCGGAATATCATGCATGATAAACAGACTACAAATATTCATACATACATATAATAATTTAGTTATTGAATAATAATTATACAATAAGGGTGCTATACAATAATAATAATAATAATAAGAATAATAATAATAATTCATAAATTAGTCTTAGAAGTTACCATTATTCCTCTAATAATCTTCCCGATCTAAATAACACCCGCTCTTTTTCCGTTGGTTACAATATAGTGAAGGAGAACACAGTTGAGGGCAACCAAATTGTATGTAACGAAAATTACAGAGTTACTCACTAAAATAGGAAAACCATATCGTAAATCGTTAATTTGCAAATCTTCAATCCATCATCAATCCATTGTCTGACATTTCACTCACTATTCATGCGTTTCATACAAATTCCATTGTGTTCCCACTCTTCTTCCTTTCTCTTGATCTTCCCTCATCTTCTGCTGCCAGACATTACGTTTACACTCGCGTCATATACTACTTATAAGTAGCGCGCACCACAACATAGGAATAAGTTTGTAGTAGATTGTCTGTTCGAACAGTTGTCCTTTCTAGTAATCAGATGCGATCTTCTCAAATTGTGGTCATGTGGTCGTGCTTCATGGTTCCAGTTGGGTTTATCTTTTGTTAGCTGGAGATTTGATTAGAATATCTTGCCGGAATTTTTCCTCCTCTTCCGTAGCTGAAGCTCTTTTACAATCTCGTCGTTATATATGATCCATAATGATTCCTTCCACTTTTACTTTGCACGTCATTCATTGCTTCTGTTCTAATCTCCATTGTTCCCCTTGTCCATCGTGATCTGCAATCGCCGAAATCTCTCATCCAAACTTTATCGATTGGATGAGAAATTCTGGCTTTTTGATGATGATTTTCACTGAAAAATGATTTATTTATTCTTTTTTCCTTCGATCTCTGTATAAAATCACCTAGAACAATCCGGATCTCTCGTCCAAACATATTTTCTGAAAGCAATATTCAATTCGCTGTAACCGGATTCAGCGTTAAACGGTAACTCAATAGCGAACTTTATATTACTTCTTCTACCGTTCCTACCTCTTCTTTCTTTCAAATAGCTTTTTCAAATCAATCGAAATTATGTTCCAGTTGAACTTTTGAATAAAGACGGTATGGAGCAGATCTGTCTTCTGTGTTCCATCATCAGAAGCATTAGCAAGTGGTGGTCAGAAACAATTGGACACGTCTATGACCTTTCTTGTCAAGGCACTGGCAAACACCCTCCCCATTACGAAAACTTTGGCCATTTTGAAAATACATCAACGATAATCAGGAATTGTTTCTCCTGAAAGGATCCCACGAAATTATTTGTGAAGGTGTGACTATCATTCTTCTGGTAGTGGAGATAATTGAGATTCCCCTTAAACGATAGTTTTGATGTCAGTACACACTTCAAAAAAACATCACCAAGCCATCTCTACAATATCTTTATCCACAGTTCGCCAGCATTCGTAAGCATGACCTATTGATTCCATGCAACTCATACACGGATGAGAAGGACTGATTGACGAACACCATTAGGAATGACAATCCGATCATCAAACACAATAAACTTGTCCACAACTGACACAGTCTCTCCTTCTGTACAGTAGTTTCATGTTCTGTATTTAACTATTATAGTTATTCAGTAACCAGATTATTCTTCTTATTATATGCATTTTTGAGTAGTCCTCGAGCGAATATATATCAGCATTGGGATGAGTACATCCATCTGATCAATACCACCAAACAGAACAAAATGTCCACTGAGAATTCCACCCATAATCAAAATTCAAATTCACTAACATTATTTCCTGCATGTCACTTTTATTCAGTTGCTACTTCTTGTTTATCTCATTCAGTTTGTTTTTATTGTGTTACTTTCATTCTGCACTTCTGATTGTCTGAGTGATGTATCAGACGACATCATCTGGCCAAATCAGTAGCTTTTAATGTTACAACTAGCAGAAAGGTTGAATATAACTTTTCTCGTCCAGTATAATATCTATATTTATTTATATACATGTGTGTCATTTTTTAACATGATTCATTCTTTCCGTATGTGTGTGTACAAAGCTTATCAATCGATCGATAAAATCGATCAATTTTTTTTTAAAAAAATCCTACAGCCATTTTGAATTGTATTCTAAATAAAAATAAGATCTATTCGTTACTTAGTTATTCTATTTTGTGTATGTTGAACTGCCTACGCTGATATTTTATTCAAAAATTGTCATTTCAACACAATGACAACGGAATTTTGAAGACGTATTTACTTACTACTTTACTACTCTCTTCATTAACATTTAACTCAATGGGAAATTGTATGAAAACTTCAAATCGTAAACATCCAAATGAACATTTTAATAATGATGGAGATAATTTACCATTGTGTAAACCTTATCAATCTGTTGATGATATTAATAAATTGATATCACTTTTCACTGGAGATTCTAATGAATTAAATCAATGTATGTTAAAAAATGATGAAGAAGTACAACAATTGAAATCTGCTATACAAGCTTTATTACATGGATATGCATTGAATACACAAACATTTCATTCTATATCAGAAGATAGTACTAGTAATGATTCGGATACAGATTCATTTCGTTCAGAAAAATGGGATTTAACATTACCTACTATGAATAAAATTGGACAATATGAAAAAACAGGACATACTACTACTAATACTGCTGCTACTGCTACAGGAGGGATAAGTCATAAATTGTTTAAATCACCTGAATGGCCAATGATTAGTACACATATACTTGGATTTACTGTGTTAAAATCAAATTTATTAAATTGTATAGAATGGTTAGAATATGATGAAGAGATGACACATACGAAAATCCCAACGGATCAATTACCATCAATTCATCCAAGTGAACAACCAACAACAACAACAACCTCAAAAGATGATGATTCAAATGCATCAAACGATGAAAATGATACTATGAACGAAGTGAATGATACTGGTGATGATAAGGCCGCTGATCATACTAATAATGATGAAACTTTATTACCAGTCAATCGATTATGTTATACCATGTTTATATGTCAAACAAAATCGGATGCAAATAAATTTTTAAAAATATTTCAAAGTATGAAAAAATGTATGCATAGTTTAGAAGTTAGAACTGGATGTAAAATTCGTTTAAGTAAATGTTTATTTATGTATAAAGGTAATCTAGTACGTATACTTGTTATTGATGGACCAAGTAAAGAACAAATTGTACAATGTTATACAAGTTTACCACAATGGGTTACACGATTGTTGATATTGGAAAAAGAGAGACCAAATGCAAGATAATAAAAAATAAAAAAAATGGTACACATAATCATCAAAGAAAAAATTTTCTAATCGAAGAAAATCTTCTTTTTTTTCTGCATTTTGTAAAAAAAAACTGTCATCTGATTGTTCAATATTGATTCATTTGTACAGCGCCATATATATATCTATAAATATAGATATATTTATATATAAATATTGTATACAAGTTTAGTAAAGCAACAGTCTCAGATCTGTTTCAAAAAAAACCCCTTTGGATTAAATATAGGGGAAATGAGGTACTGGAAATCATTTGTAAATTGAGTGAAAATGATTGATTCTAGAATTATATTATATTCGCTGAGTTGAATAATTTTCATGATGAAGCATTTTTATCCGTCTTTCTAAATAAACCACACAACATTCTGATCAATGTAAACCTAATAAAATGAAGTGAGCTAGTTGAATTCCACCAGCTATGACATAATCGAACCAACTAAGCTGTGACGATGCGATGCGATTCCATTCAAATGAAATGATTCGTTAACCAAATGAAAAACTCAATATCAGGAAGAGGATCAAGGAAAAGGTAACTTTTAGAAGTGATTTATATTGAATTATTGTGATATAATTATTCAGTAACCAGATTATTCTTCTTATCATATGCATATATCAGTATTCCTCGTGCGAATATACATTAGCATTGGGATGAGTACATCCAGCTGATGAATACTGAACATAACGAATCGTGCATCCCGAATTCCACGCCATGAAACTGCACTATAATCATCTGCCTGAACGATAGATTTGCTCCACTATCTCTTACTCTACATTTGCCTTCTTCGTGTATATCAGTGCCATTTCAACTGATAATGTCATGAATCTTCATCTGTTGACGTGCTTGGAACATATATTACATAAGCTTCACCACCAATACTGTCTTTTGTATAGTTAGGCTAAAAGATATCTACGAATGATCAAACTAAAACACGGAATAAATTCATGATAGCAGGTGTAGACTGCCTGATTGAGTTCCGTTAAACAATATTAACCAGTGGTTACACACTGAATGACGAGGCTCAAAATCATTTGCAGTGGTGCAGTTACATCCCTACTTTGTCTCTTCTGATATTCTAATCAATAAGCATTTAGAGCGAACTCACGGTTTCTGCTACTAGTGTAATTGTGATTGGTGTTTTGTGTTTGTTGTATGATATTTATCAACGATTAGGGATACAACAATTGGTGACAAGTAAATTATTGAGAAAACGATATCCATATCAGTTGATGAACTGATGCAATTTTTCACACAACAACCACACAAACTATTTGAAGATAAATTTTCAGCTAATGGAAAATGTAACTTCAAAATTTGACCAGTCTTCTGTACGTTACCTATCAGATTAAGTAGATATGTTTTCGAAACCAGTTACTGTATTCATTTTTTAATCGAGAAAACGAAATTTCAGTCGATACTTGGTATATAACAGAAATGAGGAAGGATTATTTAACATTGATTTTTCTGATCTAGACATTGGAACATTAGTAAATGCCGTCCATGGGAGGTTTGGGATAAATAAACATGAAATTGTCCAGATACATCGATTTTCCATGAAACGGTTACTGTACTTCTGAAGATTTCCAATGAACAACCATCCTTATTCAACATACTTCACACTTGTTGAAAGTATCCTAACAACCCACTGATCATGTTCTCTCACTTATACTAGTAAGCTGAACCGAACTTGTTATAGCTTTAATGTAAGTTCACTAACAGTAGACCAATTGAAATGCCTAATTATTGCTTGTACTTTGCAATTCCCATCCAGATTCTGAAATGCCTATTTGTATTTTAGGTCAAATGGAACAAGATGCATCTCTAACCATCGAAGATATGACGTCGGAGTGCCCATAAATTTCTAATCTAAACACGACACAAAACCAATTAAAAACAGAGCGAACGAACGTATTTACCATGAAATCAAATCACCAACAGAGGCTTAACAACAGAACATTCAGTCAGTAATGTCCCAAAGCTTTGGCTTTATGCATATACATAGATATTCAATTATTTTCCAGTACTTATTGTTCTACTGAAAATGAAGAAGATGAACAATCCAAAATGGAATGCTGCTTTTCATTTTGTTGCTTACCTACCTACCTACCTTTGCGCTGGATAAATATTTTATATTAATCGTGGAGTTTTCATCGTCATTTTTCAACAATATCATCAACAATGCTTCTTTATGTATGTGAATTAGGTAGGCGAGAACAATAATAAGTCAATAAATAAAATATGCCAATTTAACTATGTATGCTTTTACAACATTCTCCTGTATATACTTTAATGCATATTATTAATATAAGTATGTTGTATATTACGATTTGGTTTTGATTTTTTTGCTTTTATTGTTTTGTTTTGATTTGTTTTTTGGTCTATTTTGAATTCATTGAATTAATAATATTGATGAGTGAAATTATCTTTTTATGGTTTATTATGCTTATTTCATTATACACCAACATAGTCATTATTTTATTGTTAATCAGTTAGTCAGTTGCAACGTAGAACTTTGTACGTGTATGTACATAAGTTCACGTTGCCATACCACATGAGCACAAAGACGCAGATGTCAAATCAATTCCCACATAGTGACAAAGATAGTAGAGGTATTAATGGTAATGAAGAAAACTAGGGTTTGAAGATATTATTCAAGAAGTATAATTCAGTGAGTGAGATAAGGTTAGAAAGACAAAGGTAGATGTGCTGACCAATCCACAAGATTAGGATTTGAGAGAGCTCAAAGAATGGATGCACTTGCGCCATTGCAAACGATTTTGAGCCATGTCGTTCAAGGTCTCTAACCATTGGTGTCTTTCGTCTTGAAGATCCCAACTAGGTAGTCTACATCTACCAACATCACTCAGTCCACTAGTCAGTGACTTCATGGATTTCTGCCATGTTTTGGTCTGGCATTTTACTATTAATACATTTATACAGATATTTTGACACAAATGGAAGAAGAGCTTGACAGTGAAATGTATATTGTTCAGTTGAAAATACAACTGTGAGAAGTTTCTTCCAGTTAGGCGGACTATTTCGTCTCAATGAAAAATGTAACACAACAATTTCTATGGAATAATCACTGGCCCCTCCATTTGAAATCATGACGAAAATTACTAAGTTGTATGAGTTTTGAGATTGTAACCAAAAAAAAAAGTTAGTGATGAACATGTACTGAGATTGAGACTACTGATCGCGAGATTGATGACCAAGTAAAATCTCATTAAATCCAGACAGAAATCAAAAGGGAAACTGTGATTGGATGACAGGGTGTATTGATTCGTGATCTCGTGTTATCGAAAAGTAATCAAGACTGGAATAAAGCAGCAGCTAACACAACCACCAAAGAAAAATGAACAATAGTAGGAACACGCTTGGCGTGCAAGTTATGGTCTTTAGTACAGTTAAACAAAAAGCGGTACAATAAATCAGTTTTTTTTTAACAATAATAAGTATTTCCATTTCAGCTATTGTGTTCTCTTTGTAAAAGCATTCCACTACAAACCAATCAGTAATATTTCTATGTGGCTGCTATCTTTCGTCATGAAGTCAATGACAAGTGGACTGAGTCATGTTGGTAGATGTAGGCTATCTGGTTGAGGTCAGCGGTACGATAGTCACCGATGGTTAGAGACCTTGAATGACGGCTCAGAATCGTTGCAGTGGAGCAGGTGCACCCACTCTTCGTGTTCTATGAAATTCTAAGTTTCTGCATTTCTCATAATCTCTACCTTTCTCCTTCTAAATTTATCTTACTGAATTATCCTTCTTGAATCATATCTTCGAACCGTAATCTTCTCCATTACTGCTAATACTTCTATTATTGCTATCACTCTTGGATTTGAACTGACAGTTGCGTCTCTGTGCTGATGGGGTATGGCAACCTGAAATGTTGTACTTACATACGAAGTTCTGCGTTGTATCTGTCTGTCTGCTATCTTTCGTCTTAGCATTGGAAAATAAGGAGTTGTGAGAAACACCATTAAGAAATTCTGCAAATGTATCCAAGCCATCAACGTTGATGTTACAAGATCATGACAATAATTAAATGATGCTCAGTGTAACTAAAAAAACACACAATAATTTGTCATTAATGAAATGGTTGTATTAATGATTTTGATTGAAAACTGAACTGTCAAATATTCATAAATCAGAAAATCTTCATTTTACCAGTAAACAGTACAACTACCTTCAGCAACTAGCTGTATACATTTTACATTCAAACTAAATGTCGAGATATTTATCACTTCCTAACACCCCATAGTGTGGATTTATAAAGATATTCATGACTTGCTGACAATATTTCAGACACTAAACAATGATAGCTGCTTGAAGTGGATTAAATATGGATGGCATTCTTGTCAATAGTTTGGGAAGTATTAGCTCCATACTATTTAATCGTTTTATTGAAGGTACATGAAATACACGGGATAAAAATTAGGCATCCTATTCAAAGGATCGACCTCATCTAACTTCTCCTTTCGTTAAGAGAAGACAGAAAGTTTAGAAATACTTGTTATACATTGGTAACTGTTAACTAACGCCTTTCAGATATTTCTCAAACCTTCAACAAAATTCCCATCCTACATTACAAATAATCCTCGACTATACAATTTTTGAGAATATATATTTCATCTTACAGTAGTCTGTCTCTTTCACAGTTTCATAAGGATAATGAAACACTCGTATTGATTATTCAATCAATATTGTGCAGTGAAATTTCGCTCACAGATTTACAACCTTCTGTGAACTTATTAACCGGTCACATACCATTCATTACATTTATATATATATATATATATATATATATATATATATATATATATATATATATACATAACAAGCAAGTATCTAGTGTGCTAGTAATACATTAGAATTCACACTGTCCAAACAAATTCAACTATGGTTAAAATGCTCTTAGAAATCATTTAACTATTGACCCAAGTCTACCATCAACATAAATAGAATACGCATTCTTTAG